CGGCGATCATGGTTACCGCGTGCACGCGGCCCTCATGCGATTCAGCTGGAGCACACAGTCCGTCACTTCGAAGATCGCCGAGTTGCCTTCCGCCAGCATGCGGAAGCAGGCTCGCAAGGCTCACAAGTTTCTGATGGGCGCGGATACGTCGGAGTACAGGACCTTTGCCGAGAAGCACGACAAGTTCCCGCAGGCGACCCCGGAGGAAGCCAAGCTGCCGCTGCAGTTCATCGAGACTCCCGGGATCGAATGTGCGCTCTGGCCGGATCTTTACTTCCACTCAGACCTTTGTGAGGAGTCTGACAGGGAGGAGGAGGAGGAGGAGGACGGACCTCCACAAGGCAGGCACAGCGCGCAGCGTTCCTTCCTCCGGAAAATCCTTGGCCCCATCACGGACTATGCGGCATGTGGTCAGACATCGGGGGAAAGAAGCATGCATTGGGCCACATGCCTCTGCGATTGGCCTTGAAAGGCCAACCTTGGACGCCGGCTTTCTGGGCCATGAGGCACGCGGCGCTGCTGGACCTTCAACGTCAGTGCGGCCCGCCGGTCCTGTTCAAGACCTGGGCAGCGCCCTACCACCGCTGGCTGCTGCACGCTATGTCCACGGAGAGGAAGTCGCGCCTTCACCTGGCCGGTCCGGAAACGCTCCACCTGTGCCACATCATGACGGAGATGTTCCGAGAATGGGTGCACGGAGGCGCCGTCAAGCGCGGGCCAGCTTCTTCGCGCTGGAACAACCCTTCCTTAAGTCCCCATCCGACACCTCGCCGGTCCTCAACTTTGCCGCCCGCATCGAGTTCCAAGATGGCAAGCGAAAGCTGGCGACTCAGGATTATCATGGCCGGGAGACGGCGCACCTACATGGTCTGACCTTTGCACCCTCCCTGGCCAGTCTGCTGTTGGAGCATCGCCTGCGTGCAACCGTGCCGGAGGAGCCGAGCCATCCTCTGCAAGGCTACGTGCTCGACGGCCAGGCGGGACGCACCGGCAGCGGCTGGCCCGTGTACGAGGGCTCACGCCAGAGGGCTACTTGCGCCTGCACCACACAGAGGACGACTCGGACATGGGCGGCACCGTTCGGCCTCTGCAAGCCCCCTGGCCCGGAATGCTGGAGAAGCCGAAGTTCGTGGAGCTGTACGAGGCCTGCCCCTGGCGCGGCGATCACATGAGCCTGCTCGAGTGGCTGCGGAAGACCAATGCCAACGGGGAGATCCTCACCTGGATCAAGAAGGCGCACGCCAAGAGTGGTTCCGATGAGTCTGGGGAGAAGGTGATCGCGGCCGAGACCGTTCGGATCTTCAACGACAAGTTCTTCGGCCAGTGGATGGCCCTTAACCTGCCCTTCCGCGACATGGGCGAGCTCCTGGATGTCGAAGTTATGGAAAGAGCGGTCACGCACTTTGTGCTTCATGCCTCCGTCCTGAAGCAAGCCCCCGGCTATTGGACCGATGACGCCAAGGTGACGGCAACTCTCCAGTTGGCAGGACACCGCGATGGCTACATTGACAATGCCCTCGCTATGCTTGCGGCCCAGCGCAGCCTCATTCAGAAGTACATGGAGGGCGCCCTGGACAAGAACGACGCCGTGCCAGCGGTGGACGTGGCGGCGCGACCTGCCCTGGACGCTGACGCGCAGAGGTCTCCTTGGACGTCGATCAGCTCCTGCTTGAGAAGGAGATCAACGACCGGGTTGACCGGGCGCTCGCTGCTCGCGATGCCCAGGATCCAGACGAGGTGGTGCGGCTAACAAAGAAGGCCGCCGAGGCGAACAGCATCCTGGTCTGCACGGGACCTCCCGGCTGCGGCAAGACCACCGTTGCAGACGTCTGCCTTCGACGAGCGGAGCGCCATCCGGGAATCGATGTGGATACCTGTCACAGCGCATTTCTTCTCCATCGACCTCTGCAGGAAGCCTTGGCGCTTTTGACCGTGTACGACATGGTGATCGTGGATGAGGCCCTGCAGCTCAGCGCGGAGCACTTCGAGCGACTGCATGAGATGTGGGACGCCGCCGGGCGCTGCGCTTGCTTGCTGCTCCTGGGCGACCCCTGGCAGCTGCCCAGCGTCAGCGGCTCCTC